CTGCTTGTAATGTATTGATCTGTAATGTGTTCTGTGGTCTTGTGGCTTGGCACGCTGCTCGTAAAGTGTCATGCTGCTGTGTCATGTTGCTGCATACCGTGTGGCGTGACTTGCTACTGTAGACCGTGTCATGTGTTCTCGTACCTCGGCGTATTGTTGTGTGACGTGACTTGCTACTGTAGACTGTGTCCTGTGTTCTCGTACCTCGACGTATTGCTGTTTGACGTGCCTCATTACTGTAGACCATGCCCTGTGTTCTCGTACCTCGACGTATTGCTGTGTGACGTGACTTGTTACTGTAGACCGTGTCATGTGTTCTCGTACCTCGACGTATTGCTGTGTGACGTCACTTGTTACTGTAGACCGTGTCATGTCTTCTCGTACCTCGGCGTATTGCTGTGTGACGTCACTTGTTACTGTAGACCGTGTCATGTGGTCCAGTACCTCGGCGTATTGCTGTGTGACGTGACTTGTTACTGTAGACCGTGTCATGTGTTCTCATACCTCGACGTATTGCTGTGTGACGAGACTTGCTACTGTAGACCGTGTCATGTGTTCTCGTACCTCGACCCATTGCTGTGTGACGTGACTTGCTACTGTAGACCGTGTCATGTGTTCTCGTACCTCGACCCATTGCTGTGTGACGTCACTTGTTACTGTAGGCCGTGTCATGTGTTCTCGTAACTCGGCGTATTGCTGTGTGACGTCACGTGTTACTGTAGACCGTGTCATGTGGTCCAGTACCTCGGCGTATTGCTGTGTGACGTGACTTGTTACTGTAGACCGTGTCCTGTGTTCTCGTAGCTCGACGTATTGCTGTGTGGCGTGACTTGCTACTGTAGACCGTGTCATGTGTTTTCGTACCTCGACGTATTGCTGTGTGACGTGACTTGTTACTGTAGACCGTGTCATGCGTTCTCGTACCACGACCCATTGCTGTGTGACGTCACTTGCTACTGTAGACCGTGTCCTGTGTTCTCGTACCTCGACGTGTTGCTGTGTGACGTCACTTGTTACTGTAGACCGTTTCATGTGGTCTAGTACCTCGGCGTATTGCTGTGTGACGTCACTTGTTACTGTAGACCACGTCATGTGTTCTCGTACCTCGACGTATTGCGGTGTGGCGTGACTTGCTACTGTAGACCGTGTCATGTGTTCTCGTACCTCGACGTATTGCGGTGTGGCGTGACTTGTTACTGTAGATCGTGTCATGAGTTCTCGTACCTCGACGTATTGCTGTGTGACGTGACTTGTTACTGTAGACCGTGTCATGTGTTCTCGTACCTCGACGTATTGCTGTGTGACGTGACTTACTACTGTAGACCGTGTCATGTGTTCTCGTACCTCGGCGTATTGCGGTGTGGCGAGACTTGCTACTGTAGACCGTGTCCTGTGTTCTAGTACCTCTACCCATTGCTGTGTGACTTGACTTTCTACTGTAGACCGTGTTATATGTTCTCGCACCTCGACGCATTGCGGTGTGACGTTCCTTGTTACTGTAGACCGTGTCATGTGGTCTAGTACCTCGGTGTATTGCTGTGTGACGTCACTTGTTACTGTAGACCGTGCCATGTGTTCTCGCACCTCGCCGTATTGCTGTGATGTGACTTGCTACTGTAGACCGTGTCATGTGTTCTCGTACCTCGACCCATTGCTGTGTGGCGTGACTTGTTACTGTAGACCGTGTCCTGTGTTCTCGTACCTCGACGTATTGCTGTGTGGCGTGACTTGCTACTGTAGACTGTGTCCTGTGTTCTCGTACCTCGACGTATTGCTGTGTGACGTCACTTGTTACTGTAGACCGTGTCATGTCTTCTCGTACCTCAATGGTTGCTGTGTGACGTCACTTGTTACTGTAGACCGTGTCATGTCTTCTCGTACCTCGACCCATTGCTGTGTGACGTCACTTGTTACTGTAGACCGTGTCATGTGTTCTCGTACCTCGGCGTATTGCTGTGTGACGTCACTTGTTACTGTAGACCGTGTCATGTGGTCCAGTACCTCGGCGTTTTGCTACGTGACGTCACTTGTTACTGTAGACCGTGTCATGTGTTCTCATCGCTCGACGTATTGCGGTGTGGCGTGACTTGCTACTGTAGACTGTGTCATGTGTTCTCGTACCTCGACGTATTGCTGTGTGACGTCACTTGTTACTGTAGACCGTGTCATGTGTTCTCGTACCTCGACGTATTGCTGTGTGACGTCACTTGTTACTGTAGGCCGTGTCATGTGTTCTCGTACCTCGATGTATTGCTGTGTGGCGTGACTTGCTACTGTAGACCGTGTCATGTGTTCTCGTACCACGACGCATTGCTGTGTGACGTGACTTACTACTGTAGACCGTGTCATGTGTTCTAGTACCTCGACGTATTGCTGTGTGACGTGACTTGTTACTGTAGACCGTGTCATGTGTTCTCGTAGCTCGACGTATTGCTGTGTGGCGTGACTTGCTACTGTAGACTGTGTCATGTCTTCTCGTACCTCGACGTATTGCTGTGTGACGTACCTCATTACTGTAGACCATGCCCTGTGTTCTCGTACCTCGACGTATTGCTGTGTGACGTCACTTGTTACTGTAGACCGTGTCCTGCGTTCTCGTAACTCGACGTATTGCTGTGTGACGTCACTTGTTACTGTAGACCGTGTCCTGCGTTCTCGTACCTCGACCCATTGCTGTGTGACGTCACTTGTTACTGTAGACCGTGTCATGTGTTCTAGTACCTCGACTTATTGCTGTGTGACGTCACTTGTTACTGTAGACCGTGTCATGTGTTCTCATACCTCGGCGTATTGCTGTGTGACGTCACTTGTTACTGTAGACCGTGTCATGTGTTCTCGTACCAAGACGTATTGCGGTGTGGCGTGACTTGCTACTGTAGACCGTGTCATGTGTTTTTGTACCTCGACGTATTGCTGTGTGACGTGACTTGTTACTGTAGACCGTGTCATGTGTTCTCGTACCTCGACGTGTTGCTGTGTGACGTCACTTGTTACTGTAGACCGTGTCATGTGTTCTCGTACCTCGACGTATTGCGGTGTGACGTGACTTGTTACTGTAGACCGTGTCATGTGTTCTCGTACCTCGACGTGTTGCTGTGTGACGTCACTTGTTACTGTAGACCGTGTCATGTGTTCTCGTACCTCGCCGTATTGCTGTGTGACGTCACTTGTTACTGTAGACCGTGTCCTGCGTTCTCGTACCTCGACCCATTGCTGTGTGACGTCACTTGTTACTGTAGACCGTGTCATGTGTTCTAGTACCTCGACGTATTGCTGTGTGACGTCACTTGTTACTGTAGACCGTGTCATGTGTTCTAGTACCTCGGCGTATTGCTGTGTGACGTGACTTGTTACTGTAGACCGTGTCATGTGTTCTCGTACCTAGACGTATTGCGGTGTGGCGTGACTTGCTACTGTAGACCGTGTCATGTGTTCTCGTACCTCGACGTATTGCTGTGTGACGTGACTTGTTACTGTAGACCGTGTCATGTGTTCTCGTACCTCGACGTGTTGCTGTGTGACGTCACTTGTTACTGTAGACCGTGTCATGTGTTCTCGTACCTCGACGTATTGCGGTGTGACGTGACTTGTTACTGTAGACCGTGTCATGTGTTCTCGTACCTCGACGTGTTGCTGTGTGACGTCACTTGTTACTGTAGACCGTGTCATGTGTTCTCGTACCTCGCCGTATTGCTGTGTGACGTCACGTGTTACTGTATTACAAAACACGTTGTGTAACTTGTCCCTGGACGACTTAGCTCCACATGCTACTTGTAACGTAACTGGATCACGTGTGACGTGTGTTGATGCTGAATAATGTAACATATTGATTTGTAACGTGACATGTTTTTGTTTAAGAGTTCGTTTGTTTGAGGTGTCCCCCAACATCTGGACTCGATTCTGCCATAGATGTGGGGCATATTCAACTTCAACTGAAATTAAATAAACGTTCCTTTGTGTGTGGTCCTCTAACATCCATGACAGCACGTCAAGTCCGGTCAATACCCGAGCAGGATTTCTTATCATACCACGTCAGGCCTTCCAACCACAGTATTACCGTGAAGGTCTGTTATATTGCCAGTAGTTACCCTGCCCGGCGCTCGGCACATTTCGAACAAAGACACTTGTCACAGGAGGCACTACACGTTCAATAAGTGTTTCCGTGTAAGGCAGAGAATGTCGGGTAGCCTAGTGGTTAAGGCGTTCGCTCGTCACGCTTAAGGCCCGGGTTCGATTCGCCACTTTGGTCCAATGTGTGAAGCCCAATACTGGTGTCACCAGTCGTGACATTGCTTGGATAACTAAAAGCGGCGTAAAACTAAACTCACTACGGAAAGCCTTGGAGATCAAACATTCGTGCAGCAAAATGCACTCACTCACTCGCTCCGATTTGGGTTGAGACTGGCCGATATGACGGCACTGTTTTAAATGAGAGAGTTTGTTTATATTGTAAGGATGATGTGGAAGATGAGTGTCATGTTTTACTTATATGTCCATTGTATAAGAATGAGAGGTCTATTTTAATCGACAAATGTAATGATGAATGTGATAATTTTAATGGTTTTAATGACAATCAAAAGTTATGCTATATCTTATCCAGCCCAAATGTATGTTTTATTGCTGCCAAGACCTGCCATTTTATACCCTCTAAGCGTACGTCCTATGTATATGCGAAAGCGTAGGTATATAATATCAAATTCAGCTATATATTTTAATTCAATTTATTCATATTTCGTAACATATACCATTCTATACAGTAGGTTTTTATCCTTGAGCACGTTTTACAGAACTTAGTCTCTCATAACTCCTTATAGGAGTGGCTGAACTTTTGTTGCTTTTCTTTTTACTGAATCTATTTTATGCTGAGGTGAGACTAAAATAAACAATATGTCTGTCTGTCTGTCGTGTCATTCGTCAGACCGTCAGTCAAACTCCAGAAACTGCAAATGTGTACTCAGACCGCAGTCCACAGAACTGTAAATATAAGGAGGAAATCAACATAATTTAACATACATTTTTATTCAGCAATTTCAGAGGTACAAAAGATCACGGAAATCTGCCAAACCTTTGTACATTTTTGTTTTGAAGAGGAGAGCTCGATGTTGTTATGGACCGGAAGTGAGATGAAATGGAAACGAGGCTTACTGAGGGCACATGTCTTTGAAAACAGAAATATCACATGAAAGTCTTTTTTTCGGAAATGTTCTCACAATTTCACTTGTCACTGCTGTAATAAACGCTTCAGCTTTCCCAGAACACTTTTATTCACTGTCTGAAAAGAAAACTGTGAGTTAGTTCAAATGATTAACAAATAAATAGACTACCAACAAAAGAATGGGATAACAAGTGATAATACATGCGCATGCTGGTATAGACTTTTTATGATAAGTCAGAAAGGATAATTAATATTGTTTTGACAATATCGGAGACTGTATTTAATAATGAACACTGTATATGCCTTAAGTTTCAACAGAGGAGGGGTTGTGGGGTAGCCTTGTGCTTAAAGCGTTCGCTCGTCACGCCGAAAACCCGGTTTCGATTCCCCATATAGGTACAATGTATGAAGCCAATTTCTGGTGACCACCGCCGTAACATTGCTTTAATGTTGCTAACAGCGGCGTGAAACCTCACTCAGTCAACTGAGAAATTTCGTGTATGTTACTGTTAGAACCATCAGAGACACGCGGGGGTTTAATTCGATCCTGATTTTACCGGAACCATACCTTCTTATCGTCTCGATATGTCGATTATGAGGAGTAAAAGTGAATGGTCAAAAGTGATGCAAAGACCACCGATCAATTTAGCACCAAATCGAAAGCAACAAGACATATTTTCCAAGTTATCGTTTTGTAAACCACGCAAATGTCGTAAATCGTTAGTGTTTTACGACATAGTTTGTGTCAATCGTTCGAGAATGATCAAGTCAGTTCCCCATGTGTGTCTGATAACGGATAAGTGTGTCTTTGGCTCAGAGGTTAACGCGGGTAACTGGCACGTAACAATGGTTAACTAACCTCGTTTTTTACAAATAAATTACATGGGTTTTTAACAATACTTTACGACTTTACGGAAATAGTCAGATGCTCTTAATACAGATCAGCGATTTTTTAAGAAATGATTCAGCTGGTGAAATGCCCAGGTATATAAACGCAATGAGTATATGACGGAGATGGAGAGTTTGATGCCGGTGGAATCATCTTTGACAGCTCCCGCAGCACAAAAGTCATTCCACATGCGGATCACGGAGGAATGATTGGAAACTGACCCTGTCAACGTCAATCGCGAAACGGAAAAAAACGAACTCAATTAAATGGGATTTTGAATTCTGTTGCCCTGGGTAAGCGAAAATGCAAATATGAAGGCGCTAATCGCGACACGGTGTCTAATAGATTACATTTCAAATGAAGGTTATGCTATAGAAAAAATACAAAGAGCGCCACTCATTGCGTGGCAATGAATAAAACTATGACACGAATACACATGGTGCATTTTCTATGATGTATTTATGAATTATTCAGGAAATCGATGCGTATGTGTGGTACACAAGCATTATTGGGCAGCAAGTTTCATCATGATACGAGCTCACGATTAAAACGTTCGAAAGAGACAACTCGCAATGTGGAATATGGTCGAACCTGTAACACTTTATTGTTGCTCTGGGAACGATGATAATATACGCTTAATCGAACTTGCATGATCTATTAGAACACTGCGTTACCCGTCGATTAAGGGAACTGTGTTTTCATTAATACCAAGTGCAATATTTAACGGCTGACGTATAGATTCCACCTGGAACACCTTACAACTCTCAAGGGGAATCCACGGAGGATAACAAACAAACCAATAATGTGTTAGTTACAAAGATTACAAGTATAGCTGAGTTAAGGTGTTTTAATTACATAGCCCTTCAAATCCGTTTGACACGAAAGTTTAAAATCTCTTGATTTTACTTGTTTTGTGAATCGCGTCATTTCTTTAAATCGTCTTACATGACACTATCTGAACTTTTTGAAGGGAAATGTTTTGTCTGTGTATTTCTTCTTGTCATGGTGCCTCCTGTCTAAGAATTATCTTTAAGACCTCTGTGTAATGCTATAAAGTATGGGAACGTTTCAAGACATGACATAGGTAGCCAAGTGGGCAACGTCGCCACATGTTGCATGAGTTGCGTCCCTTGAGCACTCATTTGTTCATGTTACAGATACATTAGAGTGAACGTTCTAATTACTGTAAGGGGTAGGGGTTAGCATAACGCTTAAAACGTCCACCGAAGACCCGGGTTCCATTGCCCACTTGGGTTCAATGCGTGAAGCCCATTTCTGGTGTCCCTTGCCGTAATATTGCTGGAATATTGCTAGAAGCGGCTTAAAATATTACTCACTCCAATGACAGTCTTCACAATGTAAAACATGGTCATTCAAAGATGATTACTCATATTATGCATGACAATGCAGCAAAATATATAAAAGCCCTCAGCACATTACCTGGGGTTTATAACACTCTGGCAAACACATAGAATAAATAACTCCGTCAGGTTTCGTGTCAACTGTTTCTTTCAATCCAGAGCAGCAGACGTTTCCGGTTTGACATATACTCCTCACTTCAGCCTTCCCTTCGTCGCCCACAACCCACTCGTTTTTAAGTCCCATCGTGCAACACTCGTCACTTCCGGCGGTCTGTTGTCCCGATCTGCCCATTCTTGGGAATGCTAAATAACCCTGAAGAGAAACCGAAGACTCTTTGTTAGTACGAACACGTACGTAGACATGGCATCGTTCTACCGTATATGATGATGTCCCTGTCAAGGCCTACATTTGAGGAAGCATCTTTTCCAAGGGAGCGAAACTAGTTTTCCTTAAAGCCCCAATAGAAGCGATGCCTCTTCTCATGTTTGCCTTGCTGTAAAAAAGAAACGATATTAATGTCATCGACATGATTCAGAAGTAGATATGAAAGCATGTGAGTAACGGGTTATCCATTTTTAATCAAAGCCAAAATGAGGTGTATATATTGACATGGACGTAGATCCGATCATTTGAAAACACATTATCTGCAAGAGGATTAAAAACATCTCTGTTCCAATGGGTACTTTTTCACCTTATTTGCTTAATAGGTAACTGTGCACATATAATAAGACACACATGTATACATAGACACACACGTATACAGAAACGGACATACGTATACACACATACAAAGACAATACATACAGGAACATACATGTAGAATTCAGACCCATCCCAGAAATTGTTTTTTGTGTAACGTCGCACTGAGCATTATCCTACTTACATGAATATGGTGGCGGCCTCTAAAAGCTAGAGTCTGGACCATACGATCAAGTGATAGATATTGTGAACGCCGATGCCCATCATCGGGGTACAGTGAATCAACCACGTCACTAGGCTTGACTGTCCCATCTCTTCAGTTGCTTCTTAGCACATGGTACGTGGCTGTCTTAGGGGGACTGCCCGACTGGCTATTTGTGCTCTTACAGAGACACTTCTTCTAATCGTTATCTGGGTACTGAGGTAGCCTAACGGTTAAATCGTCCGCTGGTCACGCTGAAGACCCGGGTTCGATTCCCCACATGGGTACAATGTGAAAAGACCATTTCTGGTGTCGATATGATGCTGGCGTCACACCATATTCATTCACTCACTAATCGCTATCTTATTAATTAGAAATAACAGTTAAAGAGATTCTACAAACACGAAATATTTTACTTCATACTGTCGATAGTCGACATGCAATAGTATCAAATTTTAAAATTTCACCAAATATTCCAATTTCAGTATCTACTATGCTGCAATGACATTGTTTTATAATGTCTTGAAACAAAGACTTTAAGTTAACCTTAATTTGAGAATGAGCGATTTGAACTACCCCGTAGGAACTTCGTTTGAAATCGTTGCACTGCTGAACACAATACTTAACACTAGATGTCTTTACCATTTCCTGTAGTAAATATGTCCCTGGCTTAATTGTACATTTTGCCAACCGAGTGCATACATACACACATAATATTTCAATACAAATGATATATTTCGGACAAACATGACATTGACAGTTTTCACACGGGCATTCTGCAACTGGACACAAACAAAACAGTTTTCCTTCCTTCGGGAACATGAACACCTTCTGTCCTTGCGCCGAAACCCCTTCTGGTGAATACACATACATGTATCAAAGGGCTTCTGAGAAAGGACGGACCTCGTTACTGTGATCTCCCAATGGATATGAAAGTTAAAGACACAAACGAATACTTAGTTTACACAGAACATCGAAGAAAAGTGATGATGAATTTGCATTTCATGAAGTTTACAGTTTGGGCTACACAGAAAATAGACCTGTTTATATCATGTAATCATATGTTCCTGTGATATTCTGTTTTGAATGCATACGTAATGTTTAGATGTTTTCACATCCGTTGCTCTGATACTCGAAGTTATAACCTAAATTATAAGACCTATAGTCGAGCGGCTTGGCAAAACTTCAGTCATAACACCTGGTACTTACGAAACAAATGCATATGTCGTGCTTTGACGGTATTACGTTTAAACAATGTTTGTCTCATGGATTAAACGATCCATCCTTCTATATTTGTATCTCCCTTCGCTCCATATTTTAAAAGTTTTATCAGTATCACAATAATGTCAACCTTAATCCAAGGCAAGGGAATTGGATTTATATATAAAGTAAATGTTTGTATGCCTGTGGCAACAATTTCCTTGCTTTTAGTCCTCAGCCTCCGTTCTATGTGGTAATGTAGGTTTGGTTAAGAACAACCTCTAAATGGTACGAGGACTTAGTATCTAGAATAGGTCGTGAATAACTGGGATCTTGTGGTGGTTTAAATAATAAAAAAACCTATTAGTTCCAGATCATTCTGAGTAACTGATGGTTATGATATTTAACAGGAGATATTATTCTGTCGTGTAAAAAGGTTCAAGCTGCAGGCTTTTTTAGCCCTTATTTTCCATACATAGATTTGGCAAAGTTTTTTACAAGAATATTTCTGTTTCACTAACAAGGTATTGTCATTATGATACTTTTGTTTCTTTATGAGTCTATTTTTGATAGTAAATGAAAGTTCAAAATGTTCATCATAATTGGTTAGCTGAAATATAAACACAATGGGTGATGTTAACATCATACAGTCAAAGAAGGACATGAAACAGATACTGTGTAACGAAACTAATAGCTATCCAATCCGTATCTGTTGATGTCCTTCTTTATTCGTTGTTGATGGTATCATCTTCTCGTACAGACATGCACCTGTGAAAGAAATGTTAATTGACAAAATCACTGTGATGAAATTGATATGTTTTATCGTTGCACATGCACCCATTGACGCCATACCGATCGACCCTCCGATTGCAATCGTTTCCGGGGCATAGGAAACGGAAGTCCGTCTTTACTGCGAAACTGAAGTAGCTGAAATCGAAATTGCGGAATAGGACATGAAACGAATTTGGACACAAGAACATTTCACTTCTTTGGAAACGCCACAAACATCATTGCAACACGAAACGGATATAGATTTACCAAACAGGAAAACATTAAGCATTAACTATTTGATGAGTTACATACTAGTATGCGTTCTTCAAGTTAAAAAGTACATGTACATTTCTTGGTGCAGAAGGTGATGTGATTCTACTCTATCTGTGAATAGATTGTGCATTATCTATTCGTGGTATTCTAGTATCTTTGTAGGCATTCTGCAATCAGGCAAGAACATTGATTGTGAATGCGCTGTGCAATGGGGTTTGGTCACACTAAATTACTTTGCTTCTGTCGTGAAAATAAACAAAGAAAAGAATCTCAAATTTGTGATTGCTGATTTCAGGTGGGAAATCCAGACTCCCTGGTCGTGACCGTGCTTCAGAGTTCTGGTAGAAAACGTTTAAGGCCGTCATCACTTCCAGCCACGATGAGCTGAATTGTATTGATATAACTGTAATACTGTTCAAATCGGTGATTAACTTCTTATTAACCCCCACACACAATTTCCATGTAATTTACGTCCAGTTCGTGTTCGTGTTTTTAGATACGCTCACAATGATGGTTTTGTTTTGATGGTGAACAGTTGCAGTATCCTTTAAATATGCTATTCTGCCGCTGATTTCTATTAACAATTTCAACTCACCAACGCCTGTTTGACTAACAGCAGCACGAGAAGATGTCAAACACTTTATAGCTTAAACTGTTAAACCATTGCTGGATACTAACACCAGGTCAATAAATCCCATACGTGTAAATCATTCATGATACAAAGATTCAGCTCACGCTTCATTGACATCTAGCATTTCATGATGAGACCAAAAAACACCTATATCAGGATAATGGGTTACTGTACAATATATCAATCAAGAAGAGTTCAGTGTACTGCAAGTGACTTCCACCTGCACACATACATGCTTGTGTTGAAAACGTGTTATTGTTGAAACCGGCTGTTATGTGATAGAATCAATGCAGTCTATTAAACCGCATTTGCACAGCAATAGGCTGATCCTTATTTAACACATTAACGATGGCTTACACTGAATTGGACCTGTATGTGTGGCGGTTACAGGTGGATAACAATGACAGGAATACGATGGTGTTTCTAATAATCCATGGGATCAGCTTTGATGTGACCTATTTGGAATCGATGTGGTGCAGGCCAACAGTAGTGTTGCTAACGGGAAAATATGCCATGCAGTGTTTCGTTGTTGAAATGACGTCAGCCTAAACCCTGTTAGCGTGGAACCATTGCCAGTAGTTTTGCTGGCATCCCCCCTTCCGTTTTCAATGCCACATACAATCTTACATATTGAACTCGTCTAGCCTTGATAAGGATGTATTCGTCAGTGCACTAGCAGTAGCATACGGATTAATAATGTTTCCTTCCAATGTCTGTAGCTTACTTATGAAAATTCTTCTGTTTACGAAAAGTCCGAAATGTCTTGAAAATGAAACTTTGATCAATTAACCCTTCAAAGGCATGTATTATTCTAACAAGTTTTCAAATGTATCTTTGAACTTTCAATGTCCATCAGCGTCCCATCACCCTTCCAACAATCGCAACCCATCTTTGTACATGTCTTGTTCCTTAGGGGCGGTGGGGTAGCTTAGTGGTTAAAGCGTTCGCTCGTCACGCCGAAGACCCGGGTTCGAATCCCGGGTACAATATGTGAAGCCCACTTCTGGTGTCCCTCGCCGTGATATTGCTGGGATATTGCGGCGTAAAACGGCGTAAAACTAAACTCAATCAATCTTGTTCCTTAAATTTACAAGAACTGCTGTTTTAACATTTGACTTACTAACCCACACCTGTAACACCTCGTGTACAGACGCATGGATGGAAGCCGTTAAATAACGGTACAGCAGACCGCGTTCAATCATGAGTTAAGGAATCCTGCATTGCACAACCCAAAGCGACTGCTCCATAACGTGGCTTCGTGAGATTAAGCTTAATTCCACACCACAGACCTCAAGCTAGTTGTAATTTAAACAGACAGACTTTGTGATCCCTCTGACTATAATGGAACCAGAACACTGCAAAGACCTTGGATGAACTATTAGACTAACAGCGTTGGCAGGTGGCGCTGTTTACAATACCGACAGCTTTTAGCATTCTGGGGGGACTATTACGAGACCGTATATAATGTGGTCTACATAGCTTGGCTCAGTTCCTTGGTTACGAATGATGCTTTAACGACAGTGTGATGATTACTTGTGCGTGTTCTGTACGTTTCCAACCAGATTGGTCACAATATTTATGTTCAGTTTGTCTTTGGCATTATAATGTTCTAAAAGGTAATTAATACAACATCTAATATTATTGGTTTAGTCTTACAAATCGGTATAATCAGGCCATGTTATTACAAATATTCGCTTATAACGTATACTTAGTTATATCGGGGCGATGGGGTAGCTTAGTGGTTAAAGCGTTCGCTCGTCACGCCGAAGACCCGGGTTCGATTCCCACATGGGGACAATATGTGAAGCCCATTTCTGGTGTCTCCCGCCGTGATATTGCTGGGATATTGCGGCGTAAAACGGCGTAAAACTAAACTCAATCAATCTTGTTCCTTAAATTTACAAGAACTGCTGTTTTAACATTTGACTTACTAACCCACACCTGTAACACCTCGTGTACAGACGCATGGATGGAAGCCGTTAAATAACGGTACAGCAGACCGCGTTCAATCATGAGTTAAGGAATCCTGCATTGCACAACCCAAAGCGACTGCTCCATAACGTGGCTTCGTGAGATTAAGCTTAATTCCACACCACAGACCTCAAGCTAGTTGTAATTTAAACAGACAGACTTTGTGATCCCTCTGACTATAATGGAACCAGAACACTGCAAAGACCTTGGATGAACTATTAGACTAACAGCGTTGGCAGGTGGCGCTGTTTACAATACCGACAGCTTTTAGCATTCTGGGGGGACTATTACGAGACCGTATATAATGTGGTCTACATAGCTTGGCTCAGTTCCTTGGTTACGAATGATGCTTTAACGACAGTGTGATGATTACTTGTGCGTGTTCTGTACGTTTCCAACCAGATTGGTCACAATATTTATGTTCAGTTTGTCTTTGGCATTATAATGTTCTAAAAGGTAATTAATACAACATCTAATATTATTGGTTTAGTCTTACAAATCGGTATAATCAGGCCATGTTATTACAAATATTCGCTTATAACGTATACTTAGTTATATCGGGGCGATGGGGTAGCCTAGTGGTTAAAGCGTTCGCTCGTCACGCCGAAGACCCGGATTCGATTCCCACATGGGGACAATGTGTGAAGCCCATTTCTGGTGTCTCCCGCCGTGATATTGCTGGAATATTGCTAAGGGCGGCGTAAAACCATATTCACTTACTTCGAATACTCGGTTGTGCCGAAACAAGTTCTAATCTATTTTTAACCGTACGGTGTGTGCTATACTCCGGATGAAGTTACAGAAACTGAGTTCTTTGGTCAATGCTCTTCGTAATATTGGATGATGGCTGTGTGTAAATAACAAACGTCAACGTGATCTGGCGTGCAGTGTCATTCAACATCCGCTTTGTGAATTAACTGCAACGTTCAATGCAGGGTGAAATAACATGTCCAACATCATGCTCATTCAAAACTAAATGCCTTATCCAACATCGGCATCAAACAAGGTGCATGTTGCAGCCATTCGCACACCAATTATCGCTTTCAAGATTACCACGTGAAGGGACGAACGTCCCTGTGATACATCTAGAATCATGTACGTGTAAATATTTTCAACTAAATCTAATCTACTGACGTGTGTTTAGGGGACTGAAGGGTGGAATTGGGTGGAAATGCCCATACATAGATGCAGGAGGGATAGGAGGGTATCCATTAGCATACAGTATCTCATGGGATGCTGCTTGGATCAAAATGCTTAAATCGTGCTCATGGTAAGCTACGATTCATACCCCTGTGTCCCCTGAAGGAGACAAATCTTGCCTTCTTCCTCTTGGGAAGGCGAAAAAATGACCATTAAAAACACCACCCTGAATAGTTCTTGGTGGAACTAAATCTTCCTTTTGCTGCAATAAAACCAAACAGGAGTCTCAGAAAGGGATGTGTCAAACACCCTAATGGGATATGTTGTCTTGAGAGGGAAGTACAAAAATTGTCAATTATCATCAAAATGTTGACTATTTTAAAATTGTTATAGAACACTACTATAAATGTGAACAGATGTGCAAGACTTAATCACAGTAAAGGACGGCCAGGAGCACAGGTGAATGCTGTCAAGGTCGTCCCACCCACAGTTACGTCCCTTAGATACTAGGATCCGCTGACTTGGGATAGACATTTAATCCTAGTAACTGGAATACTGTTCCAGGCAGCGTTAAACCCAAGTCACTCTCCTGCGTTCTGGGCTAGAAGCTTGTAGATAATACATGAGTATATTAAAGGCTGTCTTACAATTCATTAGATAGAATGTATGTTGACTGACTGAACCCAACAGCAGGGAGGGTATTGTCTGACACAGTTTGCAGGGGATACATAATCAATTCGCCACATATAGAAGCATGGTTCAGTCTCTGCAGGTTCAGTGGCAATCGAATAAAAGAGATAGGAGAGAGAGAGAGAGAGAGAGAGAGAGAGAGAGAGAGAGAGAGAGAGAGAGAGAGAGAGGCAGAATTGTCAAATACGTTCACGAGAGACAGTCATGTTAGTGAAGCGCACTTCTGTTAAGCCGACCCTATTATAATGGTTCTATACATTGATTAATTCGTGTCATCGAGAATTTCATTCAGTTTAACCCAAACAATGATCCTTCGATCGTCATCTAAACTGTAACGGTTCTGCTCTCAACGTTGCAAAGTCATGCTGATATTGAAGCTTGTACTCACTGAACGGCCCATCCGTGGGAACGCCAAATAGTTCTGAAATGTAAAACATCATTGTTAGCATACGAAATACAACTCACACCAGCCAGCGTATAATGACATCTGAGTGAAAGCCACCATAATGAACACCATCGCAATTAACAACATCAAAGTGAACATTATCGCAATGAACACCATCAAGATGAACACCACCGCAATAAACCCCTCAAAATGAACACCATCAAAATGAATATTATCGAAATGAACACCGTCAAAATGAACACCATAACATAAACACCTTCAAAATGAACACCACCACAATAAACACCATCAAAATGAACACCATCGAAATGAACGCCATCAAAATGATCACCATCGAAATGAACACCATCAGAATGAACATATTCAAATAAACACAGTGAACACCACTCTGCTCGTATTCCTTTTTCGCTTGAGAGTTACAACTTGGAGATCGCTTGTGTAATGAAAACTCTGGTACATCAAAGTTCGTCTGTTATCAACACGTCGGCTTTTATTTGAAATTACGACACTGAGATGTTACATGAACATGCTTTTTTTAAGTCGATAACAAGAGATTATGAGGATATCAATAAGATGTACTTTAGATTTTTATGAAAGGCTGTCGGTACTAGAATCCGGGTCAACTTCATTTCTGATCAATTTTATAGTATGGCGCCTTTTCCAAGCACGTTCAAGGGACAGCAAGTCGGATTTACAAGTCTAAAGTTGTTAAAACAATCTGTCTGCCAAATTGGCACCGCAAATGTTGGGAATCGATTTCCCGTTAACATATCCAATACAATCACCTAGAGATATCACAGGCCCAAGGCGATTAGAGCCAATTCCACCAACGTCTTTTAGCAGTGCACATACGTGTATATGCTGATGGTTCACATGGACTGTCCATTCCACAACTGTCATCATTCTCACATAATATCCAATGATAAGAGACATTAATTATTAAAAACGAGCCTTAAAAATAAACGTGTTCCGTGCCGAGTCAACATTTGTGTCCCATGCTTCCAGGAAATCTAGCGGCAATACCATGCCCCTCTGAAGAACTGCTGCTTTTCATATTCGCTTGTCTGATATTACATCCATATTTTAACCACCGCACCACCAAAATATGACGTTTATTTATCCCAGCAGGCTTAAATAGAAACCAACTGATTTTGCAAAAGTCCCTTTAAAATTACGTTGTCTATATTAACGACCTTCATCTTTTTTTATTATATAAATTTAATCCAAATGGCTACATACGGAAATAATTGCCATAAAAAATGTTATCAACAAAAACAAATGTATTCTTATATAGCTAAATGAATCACGTATTCCACTTAGTATCATGAGTGCGTTCGTTCGCCACACCGAAGACCCAGGTTCAATTTCCCACATGGGTACAATGTGTGAAGCCCATTTCTGGTGTCCCCTGTCGTGATGTTGCTGGAATATTGCTAAAAGCGGGGTAAAACTAAATTCACTCATATTATGTGAAAGTAAAAAGTACACGGGCTTTGAAGCATAAATGAACCACGAGTAGTTACACTGTTTTATTTTTAAGGACTACCAAAGGCTACATATTTACGTTTGTTAAAATGATTAATGTAACGTATACTTACTGTTTAACATCTCTTTACCTGACCCGTATACACGTCATGCTATACTCCAGAATGTTGTCTGTGAGTGTTGCTACTGATACCTTTTCAGTACTTTCAAGCTTGTTGTAATGCTTTTGTAATATATGCCTTTGTCGTACATTACTGGCAAGGCAAACACACGTAGCGATATCAATATTGACAGCGATGTACACGCGTTTATCGAACTCTTTATCTTGCTTAATGCACGACCCCGCACTTCATCATCAATTTGCCCTCGCTAAATTAATATTATTCCAGAACTCAACAAAATCTAAAATGTCAACATGACAATATTTGCCGTTAATGACCGTGTATTCTTTTCGGCGTTCGATGGTAAATGTATTGATAAGCAAAATAAAGTGCAGTTCGTTTATTCAACACTTACTTAGAATTGGCCTTTACCATCAATAACATTTTTTAAACAATGCATAAATTTATTCGGCGCTATACAGTCTCGGCAACTGTGGGATGATTATTCAAAATGTGTTTATCCAGATGAGATGATAGATAGCACTTATTTTTCAGCGTAGGCGTGATTTGAGTAGCTCTGCTCTTAGAGTATACAAAACTTAATGTATTTCCGGTGTTATCAAATTTACAAATAAGTTCATAATGTAAACATGACCATGATCATATATGCCAAATCCTAGATAATTCTGAAACATCAAACCCGTCCCTGCATCTAAGTTCAAGTCCTAAATCTTTTAGCAGACAGGGATAATCACGCACGTTTCCCTTCCATTGGCCACGACAATGAAGAATGACAACTTAAAACACGAGACGAGACGTAAATGGGTTACTTTTCCCTAAGTAAGCATTCGCTTACAACAGCACTTTAGTCAATACGTGTGTACGTGCTAACAGATGCGTTGCCGTATCATACGTATGATCTACACTCTACAGGAAACGGGGTCGTGATGTTACGGAGACGTCAGCAAGGATTCAGTGTCGGAACATACAGTTGCCCGCAGAGTGCGACGGTGACATCGATCCAAAAGCTGTGTGGCCTGTATTCTGAAGTCAGACGCTCTGACCCCTGATGGAACATCATATTTTTATTGATCATAGTCACAGCAGATACCGGAGTGAATATTTCACGTTAGCTTTGTCGCCGGTTCTATGTGTTATATTTTAGAAATCTGTCACCTGGGACTGGCCACTAAATTACCACCAGCATGATGATGTACACCCGATGGGAATTAGAGCCATTCAATGACGTGAATCACATTTGGCCCAAACTAAACAATGTCTCCAGTAGCTTTCTATCATAAAAGCCTTGGGAGATGGACACTGTACCGTGACCTATGCTTATTATATTGACGAATTAGATGGGATAGGACTACAGCGTTTTTTCATAATCGGTTGAAAAGGTCGGTTCTGATTTAGAACGCAATCTTGATTGGGATGTTTTCGAAATGCCAATACTGACGATGATAATTAAGTGAATTATATTGCTAGACCCGCTACACAGAAACGCACTATCCATTGTTATGTCAACATTAAAGGAGCTCCGACAACCTTACAACAGAAACATCTTCATACAAACAGTGGCATATTGATTTTTTTCTCTGGTACGCTGCTTGCAATCAAAAACTAATTTCAAATCTAAAAACACACCCATCCCATGCCCGAATTTCGAAAACACCTGTGGCCGTATGCATATGTCGGGCGTAAATTCTAGTCCGGGCGTAAGTAAAATGTGCGCCCGGACGTAAAGTTAACCGGTATGCACATAGTAGACGTAGTTAAAGTTACGCCAGTCGTAGCGCTCTATATTTACGCCACCTACCCAGCAGGCGTAAGCCATACGTAGCCTTGTAATGGCGGCACTGGATGCCAAGTTTTTTATCAGGCGCACATTTTCAAAAGTTTTTAAAAGTGAACGTCGTGCGAGAATTGCGCTCGCGTGGTCCTCGATCTGCGTATGGCTATAAAATTACACAGAAATGTAGAATATTTAATTTCATATCCGTTGGTATAAATATAAGTGCGACTACCTCGGCGGTTTGAGAAATAGACACTGCTAAATGTTGTCTAAACTTTTGTTACGCGTTAAGAAACTGTCAAATTCTCCGCTTTTTGTCGTGCACCGATAAAAGCACTCTGCTACGATTTTTTTAATTTGGCATCTTTACAGAAAGTGTGAGCGAAGAAAATACAGCCTGATATCTGAACGACATAAGTGTATATGAATTGGGTTTATGTGCTAATGCATAACGTTAGACGCTCAACATTAAAAATGACTCGCAATAAGTGTCAAAAAGGGATTTTCTTCTATGACGTCAACTGACGACAGAGAGGTCATACACGTATAAAAGATAAGGGGGCATAACTGAGTTATGCTTACCACTAGGTCAATGTTACTCAGATCACTTGGAGAAAAGTTGTTGTGGATACTTACGCTATATTTTCGTTATGTTGTGTTCACGGTGAACCAACCTATTCCATTACGAAGTTCCCCAGTGTGAGCGGATACGTTTTGGTAGTTTCACAATTTATAAGAAAAGATGGCAATGTACTACTTGAGAAAGCAGAATAGCGATTTGGATGACCCTATCCGATATGTAAGTTAGTTCTTAGATTCCCATATTCTCCTGTTTGTGTAGATGTATATTGACTAATTTTGCATCATTATTAACGGAGTACTAGCCATATCTTCATATGTACTGAAATTACTGATAATAATACAACATTTTAGTTGACGTCATGGCTTGTTATATGCATTTTGCGACGTCGGAAAAAGACGACATTGGTTTGCTGATTAGTATATATCTTACCTAAATTCCATTAATTGTATGAAAGGTCTCGGCTTCTATGTCTGAATTTAACACTCTTTAGACCAAACATCAAATGAATGATTTTACCAATTAAATAGTGTCCTGAATATATCAACAATTAGACGGTTTGACTGCGTATCTTATTGTGAGCAACACGCGCACCTGTTTGGCATCAATTTAACGTAAATGAAAAATAATATTTCACAACACCCAAATATTTTGCAGTTATGGCTACGTGTGCCAATTTCTTATGTAAATATTATTCAAACAATCAAAAACTTTCAAAGAATAAAAAGCGCCTACCCTATATCCAGGTATAATATGGAATTGAACAAGGCTAAATGTATATACTGAAAATAGTTTGATGAACACAGCGTTCGTTTGGACTTTTGACACTCAATATCTTTCGTTTCATTTTATCCAAACAGTTGATATTGGTGACAAAGACCATTAGTAATTTGATTCTAAAATGTATGGGGAATTCAGTGATGCATTTGTCGCAGGTAAATGTGATATACACGTGATGTAATTGGCGTCTCATTACCGTCCTCCGCGAAACTTGATTTTGTAAACACTATCCAGTATGACGGAAAGCGCACTTCGGCGTTCGTGTTTACAAGTG